GCATTTACAGTAAATTATGAATTAAAAAAGTTGTTAAATTAAAACCCTTTGAGTATTGCATTTGTTATTTCATTATGCATTAATTTGCATTAACTGACTAAAAATGTTTACAACTCACTTGCGCTATACTACTGACGTAATTCCCTTGAATAATTTAAAATGATACTCTTTCTCTTTGCCCTCAGCTAGACTTAAATAAGTACAGCTGCTTTAGTGTTTGCTGACTGACTGATATTGCAAGAAACCAGTAGAAAATGTACTCTCACTTAGTAAGGTGGCATCAGTATCTCTAAGTTAAAAGAATCTTTACTTGCTGCTACGCTTGTTCCCTTGTTCTTATAAGCAGTAATTGTAAGAACATGGGAGCTTTCTAAAATATTTGCTCGTGCAATTTCTAGGTTGCTCTTAAAATTCTGACATTCAGTAAGGGCCATCCAAACCCCTTGTATGTGAAATTTAATAAAATACCTTAATCTTTTAGCTAGTCATTATTGCAGTGACTGAGTTTTAAAAGGAATATCAATGTAATTGTGCACTTTTTGTTCCTGTTTCTCAAAAACACTGCCAAGAATTTCAATGCAAACACATTTATTCTGCAAAATTTACTATTACTAAGCCTTCTTTTAATCCTAAAGATTCTCTTTTACAGTACCAGAGTATTCCCAATACTAACCTACCTCAGGAGATTTTCAAAATAGCTGAATATATTTTCTAAACCTTTATCTTCTAAAGGCATCTTAAAGTAGACAACTTCTTATTTGTAGAATCATATGTTTGATTTTCTTTATAAATATATGCAACTATGAAAACCAGGGAGCTGAAGTACTGTTTTCTATTAGACAGTACACATCAATGGCAGTGAATATTTTGCCTACATCTATTCAGCCTCCTAGTAATAAAAAACATCCCCATATAGTATGCAAGTATTTACTTACACATAATTAAAAAAAGTTTACAACACTATCAGCTATTTCAAAGTATATGTTCAATGGACTAATAAAATTATCTAAAAATCTTTGTTCCCATCATGTTACTTACAATGCTCAAAGGGTTAATGCAAGGCATTTTATCAAATTAATTTTCTAATACTAGAACTAAGCACTGTGTGTTTCTGCTTCTATTCCAGTTTTTATTGTCTCTGTTAAATCACCAAACCAATTAGCAGAGATACTAGAATTCCATGTATTGATTTGTTTTAAACCATACGCAAAGACCATGTCCTGTTAGTGTGACAAGGGCCCAATTTTCAGAAATTCACACTGCTCTCTCAAATTAATATTTTAAACTCTGAAATTATTGTTGTATACTTCTATTACTAATAAATATTTTTTTTTGTTAGCATGTTTATGGCTCTCAGTGGTTGGTTTTTTTTTGTAAAAACATTCTGATACAAACTGGACTGCAGTGCATCTCTAACATAAAACTTCCTAAACAGTGCAGATATCAATTGGTGGGAATGACAATGATATCAGATCATTTCTCCTATGAAAACAAGGTGAAAAAAATAAGTGTTTCAGATATTTAAAAATACCTTGCTTTAAATTAAATTTGTACATAGACCTATGCCTTTCTGAATGACAGAACATTATCTCTTTTCTTTTTTTTGACCTAAAGGCATTAATGCTGTAAATCGTCATTTTATAGGGCAAATAATTTAACATCTATTTTCCAAATTTTTATGGAACTTTTTTAAAATGAAGGTGCTTAGAGCACGCTACAGTACAAGAGAAAAAAAAACTGAAAAAAAGAGAAGCTTTAAAACTAGTTTACCATGAGAAAGATGGAAATGTACCAACAAATTTTAATATATGTAAAACTTTTGAAAATTGGGCCCTACTTTTGAAAAGGTAGTTCAACAAGACCTCTTCCCCCACACTGTTCACTGTGCTATTTGTGCTAATGGGGGAAATGCCTCTAAAATAATTATTCTGAATTCCATTTCAAGAGCAGATAAAACACATAAATCATGTCAGCTCTCATAATGTCTACCCTGTGGACACATGCTACACCTCTCCATAGCACTGACAATGGACTCCAGAGCTGGTGTGGCAGTGCAACCACACACTACACATTACAGAAGACAGACTGAGGTATTGGTATCTCTGTAGTTCAGTGAGTACTAAAACCAAACTATTAAATAGCAAGAGTGTGCAAAATGTTTTATCTGTTTGATTAAATTTTCAGTAAAAATAAAACAGGAAACCCCCAAATCTGTAAGTATACAATGCAGTTTACAGTAAGACAGTTGCTCTAAAAAAATCAGGTAAAATCCTTTAGAATTTAAGCATAAGAATACAGACTCCAGTCAGTTTTCCAAACCTGGGATAGTTCCAATTTGTTTTGATAACACATTGTTTTTAGAAGCTATGAAATACATTCCCTTTTTTTTAATTCAGATTTTTGTTCAGTTTTGTTTTTCACTTTGTGACAGTGAACAACTGAATGGAGTGGAGAGCTAAATAATGAAGATACTCAAGTCCCATCATATTTAGCAATCTGTATTTACCTTTTACAATCGTACTCTTTCCTCAGCAACAACAAATTCAACATTAAACCAAGAAAGGTTAATAATAAGAAAACACAAACCAACACAAAAATTTAAACATGTACTATAGTATTAAAATAAAAAGCTGAAAATGAAAAAAAGTGTTGAATTATTTAACTTTATTTTACTTGTAAACATCTTATAATGCACAATGAAGGGGAGTAAATATTTATCACAGCTTAGTTTTAGCATTTTTGGTGAAGGGTACAGATGTGCTGATTTCTAAGGAAAAATCAGGACACACTGAGTGATATATGTGGCAATAAAATCTATAATGAGATTCAGTGCATTTATGAGTTTAGAAATAATGAATATAAACCTCATGTTTACTTTTTACTGAGGCAAAAGCCATCTACTGACATTAGTAGGAATTATGCCTACACAGAATGAGCTGTATGTGTTCACAATTCTGCAAAGGAATTAAAATTTATTTTTGTGCACCAATAATGTTAGGACATTTCCACTTATGTGCAGCTGTATTTGGAGCACATGTAAACTCTAGCAACAAACTTGTTTGCTATAAATACACTGTTCCATTTTACATGCTCTTCTCCTATTTGGTATATATGATTTTAAAGTCATTGTCAGACACAGTAGTTAACCAGAATAAAAGAATCCTAATTTTCTTACACAGTCTTTTCTGTAAAGTTGATCTTTTTGTGTTCTCCTTTACTTTTTGGCTTTTTTTCTTATTTAATTCCACTATTTAGTGTAGCAAATTCATGTGTCTGCTTAATGAAATGTTTATGAAGAAAAACTTGAGTTCTTTAATATCAATTAATATGGTCTCTATAAACTGTTATTGTTTAACCATTAAAATGTAATATCTGGCTGATACCCCACAAAATATAGAAATTGAAAACATGCACTGCATTATGCACCTGCTCATTTATTTCTTTTTAGTTTTTAAAATTAAAAGTAGGCAAGGATTTAGAAAATATATAATCATGCTTGGGACTATGGTCAATCTATTTTGACATTTGAAGTTGGTATTAAAGCTAGTTTTGCTTTCCAAATTCCCAAGCAAATTTTATTTGTATTAAAGAGAAATCCAGCTAGAAACAAGAAAAAATAGGTTTATTGTCATTCTAAGAGGGATATTAAAATCATTTAATAATAATAATAAAAAAATCCTTTTATTCTTTTGAAGGCTATGTAACCTGTCCTTACTTCTTAGGGAATTTGAAAATGACAGGCACACCTTGTTGAATTAATTTAAGAGTTAAGAATAACAGAAAGTACTAAGTCTTAGCTTCAGTTCTGTTTAAGGCACCATGTAATAGCCGAGGTACAATGATCCCTGATGTACATTCTTAAATGGCAATGGTCCATCTAGCCACCTATTCAAATTCTACACAATTGGGAATAAGTACAAGTGAGGTGTGCCAGTTACACTGCCTTGTCTAATTTTTGTAAAAATTTAAATCCACTTTAACAACAAGGAAATGTTTTTGAAAGGAAAATGATGCAGGTTGCTACATTCCTTGCATTCTATAAATCACCTTTTTTAAGAGCAGCAGATTGAACCACTAGTAGGAAAAGACCTGGAATAGAAGAAAGTCATCCAAATGGAATGTTTTCCTGTATGTCCAGTTCAGTATAAGTAGCACATACACTTAAAATTAATAATAATCAAGTCACTTCTTTTTTAGCTTCAGTTTCTAACAACTACAGTGTCACTGAACAGCCAAAAGTATCTGTTCAGTGGCCTCACATATAGAATCAGTAGTCTTCAAAAGAGAGGAACTGGTATGCAAATAATATCTGGAACTGTTGATTTTAAAGGAAGCTTGCATTGTTTACATCATGGTCAGATAATTAGGTACGTTTATGCCATACAGATTACCACATTCTTTACATTTCTGTCATTTAAACACGCTTCTTCCTCACAGAAAGAAACGAGATCTTCTCAACCCTCCAGCATTATTACAAAAAAATCCCCCTGAATACTCACAATTTTATCAAAATAGTGTCTTCTCGTAGTACGATGAAAAGCACCTTTTATAACAAATTTGATACATCTGCTGTCAAATAAGTATGCCTCCAGTGTAAATCAAAGAAAATAGTTCCTTTGATATTTCACAGAAGTGCATCTAATTAAAAACCTATCTATATGAAATCAGCATCATAACTAATAATTAACATTAAAATATTTTTTAAAAACTATGAAAAAATTAAATTATTATAAGAGGACAAAACATTAACATTAAGCTTTGCAAAAATCTTGCATTTGATAACAAGAAAGCCCTCGCTACTGCGTGGCCAATGTAAAATGAATCTGTTTACAAAAAAAATTTTTTTTTTAAACAGATCTGGCAAAATACGTACACCCATTCCATTTAACTCCAACAAAATAATGATCAGAACAGCTAAATTTGACAACAGTCAACCTTCAGACTTATTATCTTTTTTCTTCTTTTTCTTTTTTTTTTTTTTTTTTTTTTTTTTTTTTTTTTTTTTTTTTTTTTTTTTTTTTTTTCATATTAAACCTAAAGGACTAACGCAATGGGGCGTGTGTTGGAGGCGAGGGAGGTTTCACATTAGACTGCAGTATATGTGTTTCCAGTAGCACTGCACTGTCTGATAGTCTGGGTAGTTGCAACAATGTGCTCATTATGAATTGGGTTAAGGAGGTTCTGCTGTACTCCACTCTCGAGCACTGGCTGCATGCAGCCCACCTGGAATGCCTGGTTTAGCTCAGTTTTCTCTCTCTTGGCTTGTGGCTCTCCACTTTCATCCAGCTCTTCATCTATTTCACTTTCAACTTCACTGCCCTCATCTGCACAAACAAACCACTATGTAAATAGCACAAAGGGAAAAATTCTAATACAAGGGTCTTTATTTTGCAAATAATAGTTGAAATACAAAAATACAAGGAAGACTAGCAATCTGTGATATAGCAGAAATCGAAAATTTTAAATTTTAATGGAAAAAGTCAACTATTATCTCAAGTAGGTAAATGGACTCAGCTTTGATCACGTGAGTTACACATTATTGACACAGTATGTGAAAAAAACAACTGCAACCTCAAAGAAAAGCTCTAACAAAGTGTTAAGTTCATATTGCAAAATGTCTCATTTCTAAGACAGGATAAACAAGAGTTGTTACTCTTAGTTACAGACAGGGAAACTGAGGCAAGAAGATTTGTGGTGACTTGATCCCTAATTTTGACATATTCTTATACTCATTCGTTGAGTGTTCTGAGGTTAAGTCACCCCAAATCACTCAAGAATAAGCATAAGAATGTATGTCAAAATATGGCATGAAGAGGTTATAAGGAACTCACTGCTTTTTAAATACTTGGATACAATTCTGCCTTCTTTGCTTAGTAAAACATTCACTACAGTTAAATATACAAAAGTATACTCTTGTCTTTCTTCCCACAGCTGTTACTCTCCTCTGTCCTACCAGATATAAAAAAATTCTGAACAAGAATTGGATTTTTTTTTGTGACAATAATGAACATTTTTAAAATAAGGTTCTTATTTTAAAAGAAACCTACAATATTCTAGTCATCGTTACATGTGACATATTACATAGATAGCTATCATATCCATATAATAACATATCCATATAACATACACATGCACTTTAGAGGATGATACAGCTCTAAATTTGGGTTTACTGTGTTTTTAAAACATAAGGACTTCTTTTGCTCACATTACCTCTACAAATAATTATACACTGGAGATATTAAAATGCTTACCTTTATCCATATTTCCAGGGGATACAGCATTTAAATCACCAAACTGTGAAATAAACAATAAAAAAACTGGACACAGTCTTAAGCAAATGTGAACTTAGAATATCTATGCTCCACTGTGCTCCACTGGTTTCACACTAGCATTCTAACACATGATCTTAGCTGCAACCACATCCATAGCAGAGCAATTCTTTTCCCATTCCATCTCAGTCTGGCGCTTATTAAGACAATTATCACTAAGTAAACCCTCAAAAATTAAAACAGAGAAGTACAAACATTTTAAAAGATTGCTTCATAAGGGCCTTTGTTGCTTGAAGTGAGCTACTTCTGTGCTTTATAAAGCCATAAATTATGATGGATATACATTCTGAACTGCCAATATTTTAACAAAACCTTTTTTTAAAATTTTCCAGAGACAATTTTATTATGCTGGAACAAAAATGAAGGTTTGTCACAGTTGCTAATCTACCTGTAAGGCAGATGAAAGGCACTGCTGAGAAAGGGTTTAACCTGACAACTGATTTACATCAAAATCCAGACCTCTTAAAACAAGTTGCTCATAAGCTAGGAGCCTAGCAAAATGCCACCAATGAATCTCAAGTGAAAGGAGCACACTATTTAGATAAACACATTTCTAAGCAGAAATGATGACACCACTCTTTTTCAGAAGAATTTTGCCAATACTTGTGACCAAAGGTGGGAGAAGAGGAAGGGAGAAATATGTGAGTGCTTTTCTCAGCTGCAACACTGTGCTGTCTTACAGTGTTTGTTGGGACTGTAGTCTTCCTCTTTTATTTCAGCCACACAGCCACTGAATACACAGAAATACACAGTAATGCATTTAATGCATTACTTCTATTTTGCTCCTCACCTCACCTCACCTCTAAAAGTTCTGCAATACTTACTTCTTTATTGTATTTCCATCTTCAGTATCATAAACTTTTTAGAAGACCTTATTCTACATTTATGTCTAACACATACAAGTCTGTTAAGGCAACAAGAATGTAGTAACTGTATACTTGAGTAGTACTTACTGCAAAGTAAAAGTAGGCAAAAAATGTAGGAGCATGTATACTGATGGTGGTCACTAAGCAGAAATGTAATTTAGTTTTTCTGAAACATGACACATGATATAAAATCATTTGACAAATAAAGCTGAGACATTTTCCAATTTCTCTTGAAAGTATATAGTCTATTTTTAGTATTTAATGAAGCTATCAATATATCCTGAGGGAAGAATGATAACTGATGCCAAATCAACGAGCAAAATGACTTGCAATTTATCGGTAACATAGAATAGGATAGTGACTCCCAAGTGTAAAAATGTAACAAATCCATCCTATTAACGACCATATTTTTAAATATATCCATTTTCCAGTACTTTGGATACATAATTCTCTGGTAACAATTCATGCATTCCTCACTAGCCCACTCAAAATAAAAGGTTAGATGGACTACTGGAAAGAAGAGGGATAAAATAAACTTTGCCTTGCAGATGCCATAGATGAGTAAAAAAAATTGTTATGAATTGAGACTCTAGTTCTGTTTTTTAAACTAGTAATCTTTGAAACACATGTATGAAAATCATGTATGTTTGTGCTGGTTTTATTACGTGTATGTGAACAGTACTGTACGAGACAAAATTCTGCACGAAAACCATCCTTCTTAAGTCAATACGTTTTGTGTGGGAATTCAAAACATGTGCAAATGCATTTTAACAGATTCACAGAAGTAACATTTTCCTATTACTCTGCTCTTTTTTATTTCCACATAAAATATTCAGTTCTCAAAAACTGGAAAAAGGTTGTATGTTGATCAACATTTTTCAAACTGTGCACGTGAATCTGTGTGCAGATTTGTAAAAGAGCAAGTTCATTTAGAAAGAATTGTTTTTTACAATTCAATGTGGTTTTAGTACTCTGTCAATGAACACCGGTGAAACAAGTTCGAAACTACTGTATATATTTGTAACCCAATCTATTGTTAAACTGCAGAACATCCTACCACTCCACAAAAATGTTTAAAAATTTGCAAAGACAGTTTCCTAAATTCATCACTAAATCTATCAGTCTAGTCTCTTACATATTATCTTACCTCTCCCATAACTGCAATAGGTGTCTCTCCTGTTGCCTGAGCAACACGATGTTCTACTAAGTAAAACATGTATTCATCGTAAAGCAAGCGGATCAGATGAAAAGAGCCAAAGCTAGCAGCACTGCGCAAGGTTAAATCTCGAATCACCATTGAGCTATTCAAAAATAAAAAATATATATATTTATGTATTATATGTCACAGCCATTTTAACATTTATCCATGTACACATTTCACCTAGAAACCAATATTCTCAAAAGTAACATTATCCACAAATGTCTCATTTATGGTATCTTTGGAAAGAGATGACCAGGAAAGTCAATCATTTGTTTTTCTCTTTCTCTGAAGGTACTGTTGGATATCAAACTACACAAGAAATAACCAGACTGGTTTGTTTTCTATGCATAACTACCAATACTTGAGCAAGTGTAAAACTTAACTTGAAAGAAACTTTGTTGAAAACATAAACAGCTAAAATGGTAAAAAAAATATTTGATTTTAAAACCAAACTATTGCTTAACTAGTGTCTGTTGTGTCCACCTTCCCAGGATAAAGGTTTTAATTGCCACAATTACTTTGAAACTTAAAACTACAAGAAATAGACTTGCATCCTAATATTATATGGACAAATTCAGATATGCTCAGCAAGCAGTTGCTACAGTCATGTTCAAAGAACAAGGTTTACTCTGATAACTGTTTCAATAAGCAGCTAACATGGAATGCTCCTCTTAATGTTCTTTTCATACACTAAAAGCAGGTTTTGTCTTCCTTACTTAAAAAACATAGATGCCACAATGTTTTAATAAACAATACAAAAACCAGTGCCTTAATAATTGCATAGTTATTCAATCAAAAAATTTCATATTATGTTTCTAACTCTGGACAAAATGCCACCTGCACTCTTTTGCAGATGGCCTTTAAAAAAATAAACAAGGGTCACTTAAGTCCCTGCTCATTTGCAGACAGCCTTGAGTTCAAGGTTAACAACAATACTCTAAAAAAAACCCCATGTTTTTCACAATGTACTAAGCCACTGTTTAATATTACATTTGTCAACCTTACTGCACTGCACAATTAGGCAAATAATAAAACAGTCAGAATGTTTTAGAAGTCTATTAAATACTACCTGTAGAAAGACCATTTTAACAGAAATTGCCGTGCGGCTTTAGGAAAGCTGGGTCTTCCTTCATATGGTTTCAACGCTTGCATCATTACATTATCAAGCCAGGCAGCCCACTGCTCCAGAGTGCTCTGCTGTTGAAGAGTCATCTTGAAATCTGTTTCTAGTCTCTGAACCATGTTGTCATCACACTGGCACACCCAGGAAGCCTGCTCCTGTTACAGCACATGGCAAATCTTGAATTGACAATACATAAGCCAAAGCACAGAATGTAATTATATCTCAAAGATTAAGCTATTCAATGGGTGAAAAGGACAAAATCCACTTACTAGACAAACTAAGAAGCAGCTTTTATTTTTATGTCTGTTGTAACTTTGTTGGAAGCAAATGAGTAGGAAAAGCGTAGCATGTAAGAGCAGACATCAAATACAGAAATTAGAAAAAACAATGGAAGCAACACAAGTTTGTCGTAGTTTTCCACATTCATTTGCAAAAAAAGGCTTCTACTTTCCTCATTTTTCTACTGAAATATTCTTGATTTGTCATTCTTTTCTGGTAGGCAGGAAGAAGAGTCAAATGGGGGGGTGGCTAAAGTAATAAAAGAAGTAGCGAGAAATCAAGTGCAAGGTTCCTTTTGTTCCGAAGAAGCTAAGTCTAAAGACAAATTCTGTATTATAAAAGTAACTTCATATGAAAACAAAGCTTGTTCTGTTTGCTGACTTTCAGCAGTAATAGATCACACATTACTTGAAGTACAACATAAACTGCACACAAATGGAGAAACACACTAGCATCCAATAATCAGCAATTCAGCCGGTGTTACCAAGTTTAAATAAAGTTAGCTGATCAATTCGTAAATGAGACAAAAATGAGGGCTCACTAACTGCAAGTCATCTCCATAAGCTCTAGCTATCATGAGCCAAGTTAACACCTCATTCACAGGCTCTGCATCCATGACCATCTGTATTTAATATATTTTGTCTTTGGTCAAGAACTCCTGACTGACTTCTGTTAAGACTATTAACAAGTACCAAAACACTCCTTTACAAAGAAAAGAGAGAAACAGAGCGCTAGCAGGAATATCAAACCTTTCACTTTGCTGGCTAAAAGGATGAAAGTATTTTTTTTCAGAGGAGCAGAAACATGTAGAGAAATCAAGCTTAGTAAAAATATAAACTTCTGTTCTACAGATTGGCATCTGTACTAATCTAATCCATTATTCAGGAAATCTTTTCATTTTAAGCATAGGCACTTAGATAAAATATACTAATGGTATGGGTTTTTAAATAGTGGAGGCAGTCTCTACTGAAAATGTTGTACGTGTAATAGCTTTAAGAGACATTCAGAAGATATGCTACTGAGATCTAATCCTAAAATATAAGTTTTGCTATTATTATGACATCATTCATGGTACCCATTCTAAGAATGTATTTGCTTTACATTTGCATAGAAGTTGGAAGAATATGTGTGTTTGAAGACAGTAAATGAAAACAGAAAATGGTTTTGAGCTCTTACTTCCCTAAACTGTAAGCCATCACACTTGGACTGAATCACTACATATATGAATGAGCAAAATGTTTCCACTTTACTTTCTTGATAGAATGACAGCTAACAATGAAGTCCAAAATCACAGAGGAAATAACACTTTAAAAAAAAGCCTGTTATTTAAAATTACATTTTACCTGAACATTGGCAAAATCAACACGGTTAAGATCATTGAGCATCTGGTTGATTTGAGAAGTATTTTGAAGCACAGCACGAGCTGCTTGAGCCAGGTGATTAAGAGATGTATATCTTCGCAGAGTCTGGGCAAAGGCACTTACAGCGGCAACCTAAGAAGAAATTTATTTGTTTTTAAATACCATACTCTGTATCTGTAGATTAATTCTACAGATTGAATCTTTACTTTCATTTTAATAGTTTTTATTAATTAGTCCTCATATTTGAATTATGTCCATGTAGCAAATCAAATAATGTTATTTCCTCTCCCATTATTTGATGCTTGATGCTAAACACGAAATTTAGCATTTAAGTTAAAATTCTACTGCTTTTAAGTTAAGATGCTACTGCCCACTTGGTTTGCCATTGCAAGAATCATATTGCAACAGTTTTGTCTACCTTGGTTTGTATCATCCTCTGTGGAATATTGTTCATGGCATTTGAAAGCCAACCTTCAAGGCTTTTTGCAAAATTGCGAATGGCTTGGGTCAAGGCACCTGTGCATTAGAGAATAAAAACAGAATGAAAAGAAAGCAGTGCACCTGTCTTGGAATGTTTTGCATCCTCAGAACTCCCGTATTCAACTTTCAGGTCCACTGTTCTTACTTATTAAAAGACAAATCTAGTTCAGGTTCAAAATGCCTCACTGAGATAAAGATTATGCAATAATGATTTTAATTTTGGTTTAATAAACAGTTCTAACTTCTTCACCAACAATCTTTTAAGAAGTTTGTGATCAGCAGTACTGCTTTGGGCACTCCTGTAGAAGAACAACAGTAACTGCAGCAGATGTGACGGAAATTTCCATTAGTAACTTCCAGCTTTCCATTTCATCTAAGCACCTCTTTTAAAAAGCAAAACTCTGGGGAAAAATCCAGATATTGGAATTCTGCAGTTTCCTCAAGAAAGTCCAAAGTAACGTTAAGCCATGTCATAGTGCTGCTTATTTCAGTTTTAAAGAAGAAATTCCAACATGCAATGCTTAATGATATTGTCAATAAGCAAGATATAGGAGAGCGTTTCACTGACAGAAAGTGAGATTATTCAAATGACTATGGAATTTGTATGCATTTTTGTTTCTTTTCTATAGCACCCATAGAAATGCTGCGAGGCTGACAGAGATTTAGAGAGAAATCAAAGAAGCCCCTACAGCAATCTGCACTACTAAAAACAGAAGTTTTAATTTTTTCAGAGGAGAAGAACAGAAAGTATTGTCCCAAGGAGCCGTGCCTGAAAAAAAGAAAATCACATTGTCTTAGTCGTAGAAACCTTGCTTTCCCACACCTAACACCTGCACATTGACAAAATAGCATCCACTCAAACTGTTGCAAAAAACAGGAGACAAAAAGAAAAACCACAGGTTTCTGAAGACTGGTAGAGAATGAATGCAACTACAGAAGTGAAGAGGAAAAAACCAAAGGAAATAATACCTTTTACAATAAAGCCTTTTTTAATAATACCTTTTTAAATAAAGCTTTAACAGAAAAGTAAATTTACTAAAATAAAATCTGTATTCTTTGTCATCTCTTTTTCACAGGTCTTCAAATTTGCAGTGATAAGCAGCAGAATCCATACTGGTAACTTATATAACTCACCACACATTTGGACGCTTAGCTGACCACAATTTGATCTTACAAAGTATCTGTATTAGCTGAGCCCTCTTATGGCATTAGGTGTTTTTCTCCTTTGAGGTTTACACATGAAGAACAAGCTTTTTTCCTCAAGCCTGTCAATCACCTAGCTCACTTGTGCTGCTTTGTAAATTATTTCTGTGCACTTACTAATTGACTGTGTATTCACTCACATTTTCTTACCTACAAGACAAGAAAATGCAAAGTGGAAGTAATAATGTAACTACTGTATAAATTGTGCTTAGTTAAGAAAAATATTTCTGCTTTTTCACTTCTAATGTGCTTATTATTCTTTTTCACCTGAGAATATATATTACAAAATCATTTGCATCACTGATGCTGATGTCCTTTAAAAATAAATATGAAAAAGCAGCTCAGGCCTTAAGAAAGGCCTTTAACTAGGAAGAAAAATGAACAAATGAAAGAATTTCTAAGTTCTGAAGAAATAAAATGGCTCAAATAGATAATCAGCCATCAGTATTGTATAGAACAATCACAAATTTCTAATGAGCTCTGGAGATGTATTAAATACAGAATTTTTCTCATACTCTATCCTTAAGTACACATCTTGCCATTTCCAAAACCCGAACTACCTATGAGTCTTTCTTCTAAGTTCATCTGGCTATCCTAGAAAACCCAGAAAACTCTGTTTCAAAGAATCTTTGCATGAGGAGTTTGGTGCAAAGTAAATTGTTAAATGTAACTAGACACACACTAAATGATGTGGCAATGGCAGTTAACAGAAGTTTGATTTGCATAAGCACCTAAAAAGCTTGACTTGTGAACCAAAAACCCTGACATGTACAAAACTAGGCTTTACAGACTTTCCAGTACTTTAAATTTTTGTCTGTCTGGAATTCTGTAACATGGTGTGGAAGTACATTTTGCATAAATTCTTGACCTATCACAGAAACTAGCTCACAAGCAAATGTGTTACTGTCCATTCTGCCACTTGTGAAGATGCAAAAATGCCATTCTAAAACGTAATACCTCTGGTCTACCTTGCCAAAGACATTAGATAATTATGGTCTTTATTCCTGACTCAAATGGAGAGCATTTCACTTTTCTTAGGAAAAGGAATTTTGCTGTTTTATATACAGCAATTCTTCATTCATTCTGTGGGTGTTAAATATTTCAGCTGACAAATTTAACATAGAGGTTAAAAATAAAACCATTTTATTCCTCAATGGTCTTTCTTTTCTATTGCAGTAATATGTATTACACAGCTGAGTAGCACAGTATCTAAAAGAAAAAACACTGAAAATCCAAATTAAAAAAACCCAAACTTGAAAAAATCATATGCTTTCTTCAAGCCCTTTCCAAATTAATATTTTTCTCTATTTTGAGCAGCTGCTGCTGCTATCTTTCCATCTATTCAGGAAAAAAAAGCCATGTCTTTAACAAAGCATTTACAGTCCCAGCTCCTCTACACAGTCCAAACTTTTCTATCAACTGCTATTTTCCCACAGAGGATGATGAATTTATCTACTTCACCCAGCTCCATTACTGTCAACGTCAACCTTAAGCCATCTTTTCTGTCTCTTGTAATGACTGGAGATGCTTTTACTCTAAGGAAGGAGTTAAAAAAAATAATATTTTAAACATTTAACAGTGAAGAAGAAACTTGGATGGACCATCATGACAGGAAAGAAGACTGGAAAAAGCCATTTAGTTAGCTGGTCCTAAAGACAAAGTAAGAAAATACATTAGCTGTTTTCCAAAAGTAGCTCAGTAGTGGACTTCTGAGCAAAAAACTACTGGACTGTTTACAAAACAGAGGCAGAAATCACTTGGGAAATATTTGTCCTGGGATGTGTTTGCATGAAACAGTCTGATAATCATCCCCAAAACAGGAATGTCAAACCCAGTAGGTATCAATTATTCAAATATGACTGGTAATTCTAGAAAGCAAGAAAATAGCATGGAAAGGACATGATGCCTGTTGTTATTGATATTAAATGACTGTGTCCCATTTTCTTGAAATCCTCTACTGGCAATGCCCATTGCATTTTATGAAACAAAGCAGGAAGACACCAGAAGCCATACAGTTGTCATTTAAACACTTCTGTAGAGACTGCCAGGTTGTGCAGGACAAGCAAGTGAAAAGGAAGATGAAAAGCAGGTTCAGTGAAAAAACGTGTTTGCATCACCTTTTTATTCAGAAATTAATGTGCTTTTGCAAGTCTGAGTTTTAATTCTACCTATTAAATGTTGCAATTAAATTTGTGCAGTTTTTATCATTGCCTAATTGTTTGTAATACAGTATATTATTCAAAAATCCTACCTATTGGCGTTATCATTAGAGAAGTAAATCATTAAATATAAGCCAATGCAAAATAATTTATATAAGTAAAGGTTGTCAATAATTGCATGTATTTGAGAAAACATTTTTCCTTTATTCTGCTATAGAGATGCACAGATAAATTATGTCACTCTCTACCAAGAACTTACCCTTTCTTTAAAAAAAGGTAAAACTAGCTTTGTAAATGGCAAACTTTCAGATTTTATACATTTCAAGTTTAAAAAAAATTTTGCATCATACATAATTTGCTAAAACCTAAATTTCACTGACAAAAAAGGAGTCAATAAAACTTTTTTGCAAGGCAATACCTCTAAATAGTCTTATGGAGTGCTTATACTGCTAGAGTCAATATAGCAGAAGAGGTGTTCACAGCATGACAAAATAGCTTTGTTAGCTGCAGTACTACTTAAGGCTATAATTTTAAAAATAATATTAATCCAACTTTATAAAGTGAATACTGTTTTTTCATAGAAAGGAAACAATATGTAGGGGTTATGAGGTTTATAGTGAGTTGTTAACATGATTTCGTTATAATATTTAGGAAAGCATATGGGAGACAATAAATACTTTAAGGAGTTTAACTTTCTTAACAAAATTTGTTTTCTACCAAAAATAGCCATAAAAATACACTGCTGGAGCAATGATGGATTCTAATAAAATTAAATTTGAAAAGAAAGCTGTACTTCTGGTAATAGTAGAATGACTGGACAACTACTGACTCTTTCATGCAGGATGTGTGAGAGAAAGAACAATAGGTCAGAATAATAAATTGGATTAAAAATTTATGAGCTAATTTTTCATTGCCTTAACAGACATTAGAATTGATTTCAGCAGTCACTGATAAGGACCAGAAGACTAATTGTCCAAACATGGAATCACAAAACCCTAATTTTTTTCCCAGACAAATCAAAGTTTAATATGTGATACTTAAACTGAAAACTACTCAATGTAGCGTACTGACTGACTTAGTGCATATTGTCTCAGGGCCACAGGACTTCTATCAGGTAGCCTAGAGCCAGGGTAAAAGGAACACATTTTTACCTGAAGATATAACACACACAGAAAGGACATTTAATATGAAACTATATCTTGAAAACTAGATCTTCCAACGGCACTAAAATCCTCATGTACGTTTAAAATACAAAATGTCAATTCTCAGCATAACTTCTTACACAACAAAATTAGGGGTAATGACACAAAGTACTTTTGTAACTTTCAAATTTATTCCTTAAGTTGCCCTGTGAGGCATAAGGACACCTCCACCACACACATGCTTGCAGAAGAATCCTTACAAAATGTTTTAGGTGTTCAACTTACTAGGAATAGGTCTAAGGACGTCAGGAATGAGAATCTCCACCAAAGCCTGGTACATCACATGGTCACAGTTACACATCCATTTCAGAATAGACTCATTCTTGCACAGAGTAATCAGCTTTGCTTTTGGAAGTCGACTTTCTATTTCACTCAGATTGCTGGTGTCAAAAAAAATGAATAAATGATAATGCATATATGGCACCTCGGGACATGGTTTAGTGGTTAACATGGCAGTGCTAGGTAAATAGATGAATTAGAAGATCTTACAGGTCCTTTCCAACCTTAAAGTTTCTATGATTCCATGATTTACAGTAGGTAAAAATCTGAAATGGGTGTTAAAATGTATTTTTTCCTAAAGACGTCAGAGATTTCTCAGCTACACCCAGTATAACTTCTTTAGACGTTGTGTCACATGGAAATGGATTTAAGAAATGGTCCATAGTTCTCCTATAGCTCATAAATTGTGCAGACATATGGATGATACTTTTGGCTTAAAAGAAGTAGACTGAATACTGGTAAGAGACACCTTTATTGTAGCTCTCTATGCAAAAAACCCAATGGATGGCACAACTGTTCCAAGACTGACCTTTGGCATACACCCCAGCTATACAAAAATGCCACACAACATAAATTTAACTTGGAAGATTATCATAGGAGAAAAAATTATTACTATTCAAGTAAAACTAATAAGGTTTTTTTCCCCACACTTGTATTATATTATCATGAGACACAATAAACAAAGAGAAACATTGACTGACCTTGGTTCAGTGACAGGAGTGTCATCAGGTGGAGCAGAGGGAGAATAGCGCCAGAAAGTTTGCCACAATTTTTCTATCAGGCTGAATTGAAGATTAACAACCACATCCAGTATAGCCTGAGAAAATAAAACATGAGATCATATTATCTTGTACCCAGCTTCCCCCCCACTCCTAACTCCAACTGGATCTATAGCTTTTTTTTTTCACCATGTAGTGGAGCAAAGACAAACTGTATGTTTCTCAAGTTATAAATGGTATCTGTTTTAATACTTTTGATATCCACAAATTATCCAGCACTATAAACTGCTGCACACAGAAACTTGAATAAGACTAAGTGCACAAGCATGGAAGACTCCAGAAATTAGTATGGCCTACGTAAACATAACAGAAGAATTTTACCACAGAAAATATTTACTGCTACCGCAAAGAAAGAAGGAAACCTCACACTTTTTTCACTTCCATAATTCCATATAGGTTCGAAAACATCTTAAAATAATTTTAAAAGACATACTGTTCAGTATCAAATGTGCTTAAATTTCTCAATGTTTCTTCAAAATGAGAAAAAGTTACTGCTTTTAATGTAAAAAAAATAATTACAATTCGACCTGATTTACATTTCCTATTGACTAAACCAAAGATCTGCATCTACAATCTATAGTTTCTCTAACATTCTGAAAACATACACATAACAATATTTCAAAAGATACCCTCCAGAAAAATCTTTTTGCCATCCTTTTCAATGAAATAAATAAAATATCCTGGGGGAAAGTCACATACCACTATCATGGCTGCAATATTTGGCTTTATTGTCTTGTATTGGCTTTAAGAAAGAAATTGTTTATAGGAAATACCTCACAGTGCTCTCGATAAAGACTCTGCAGTGATTTGATGTCCTCAAAGGTAGTACCATCTGGCAGAGAAGAGATTTCAACTTCCCCAAACTCTGGCAGTACTCGAGATGCATCTGTTGTCATGACAACATAATGAAAGAGGGCTGTTGTGAACAGTGCCAGTTACAGTACAATTAAGAAAAAACCTTAAGGATTATACAAAGAAATAAATTCCAAAAGGTCATACTATACAAAGAGGGAAGTCTTTCATACCTGTTGTATGCTAAAATCATAAATAAATTCATCCAGCACTTTTTAATAAAAAAGAAATACAAAATTATTCTTGAAGACATTAAAAAGATGTAATGTACATACTACACCTATATAGAGAAGCTAACACATACTTTTTCAAACTATTACAGGATGAAGGAAAATATCTAAGCCAGTGCATGAAAAATTAATCACTGAATATTTTTTTTTTTGTTCAACTGAAGAGTTTCTATGTAACCAGGTGTCATGGGGCTTAATAGATTCAATATACATTTTTACTTGACATTTACTAGACTTTCAAGTAGAGCCATTGTGTGCTTTTACTGTTTATCACAAATGTTTCTGAGAGACAAGCTGATAGATAAAAATGCCGGGCTGAAAGGTACCCAGAAAGGAAGACTCAAAACACTTTAATGCTACCCTTATGTTCCCAATGGTTAGGCCAAAGGATTTTGTCCCTGAAACTCCCAGTCAAGTAAGACTACACCTTCTCTAATAACACAGCCAAGGACACTTCTTTACCTAAACAATTAAGTAAATTACAATTTGTTTCCATTACTGAAATACATGCTTAGCTGGATCAATGAATGCATGATTTAGATATTTTTAAACATGACTTTGGGGTTCCAGTTGAAACAATTTGTCTCTTTCCACTTACAACGCTAGAACACACTTCCAAAGCAGCCCACAGGATGGCTAACCTGCAATAGTCATGCAATGCCATCCCTCCACCCCACCTTTCATAAAATAAAATGCACTGTAATACACATGCAGGAAACAACTTTCATAGCAGGAATTTCAAAATGCACATTTAATATAACTTTGCAAAGCAACTGCATTTATGTAATATTAAATATATCTCACAAATACAGAATTTGCATATTTTTCCTGTTATACTTACATGATGCATATTAAATATTACATAAATCTCATGTGTAATTTAAGTGCCTTTTTGTTCAGCTGTAAGGATTTTAAAGAGGGTATGATAACCTTGGAAGCAACTACTGTACTTGTGTGAGTTGATATTCACAGTGATAATGAAGCTCATCTTATTTATATAGCAGTATAAAACCTGCTTTCATACCTAGAAACTGTTGATGATGTTGACTTTGGGCAATTACAGTTTGTTCAACAGATGTGCCTGTCTGTTGACCACTTCCTGTGAAGCCATCTGCAACTCCATCCACTTTCTGCATAGGCTTATACCTACAAAAATATCAAGTACAAAATTATCCTTCCTATTCACTTCTTCATAAATGGATCATAGAGTCTGATTTCTCCACCTCAAAATAAAATTTTGAGGAAAAGCAACAAAAGAATTTAGATATTTTTATGTATTTTGTCAATAACAGAAGAAACAACCACAAAGGGAAGCTATAGTATTAGCAATGCATTACAGAATTCATAAAGATATCACAGTACCACTAGCACTTCCTGATGGAATTTAGCTTACTAACAGCATACAATAAGACCAGTAAATTTACACCAAAAGGAATCAAATCCTTCCCTTTCCAAAAAGCTTGGCTTCCCAGTAATTTTGTAATTCAAAAATAATGTTTCATTACCTTAAGAAGAAATGACATTACTGTCTGAGGATAATGAAAGACTTCAAATCGAATAAGAGGACTTTGGGATATTGAAGTTACCCAAGTAAAAAAGATGTAAGTAAAAAATCAAGAAAAGGAATGAAGAAAAATGATCTGCAGCATACACTCAGTCTACAGCCTTTGCCAAAAAGGATTAGAAGTGTCAATCCAGTGAGATGTGTCTGATAGAGATGGTAGAACTGGTGTAACTACAGAAAAAAATATATTGAGTTCAATTTACCACCAATTTAAAAGACAAAAGAACCACTAGAAATATTAATAAAGCTGACGAAAGAGCAACATAACCATAATCATGCAAATTACAATATCCAGTCCTTTAGTATAAATGGGTGTGTGCTTGTGCATGTATGTGTGTGCATGTGCAAAACATGGGTTCAAAGGAGAAGTATGCACTAACTGCTACACAGTGCCATATGTGTCATTTCATTCAAATATAATCAAGTAACATATTGACATAAAGTTAAGAAAATGCCACCAAACATACTGAGGTAAGGAAAACAAAGGAAGTATGTAAGCAAATAACACAAAAAGAAATATCCACTCCTGACAGTTACATAATGAAATCTCCAAATCACTTTGTCATTGTGAATTAAGAAGAAGACAAGAGATGTGACAATGTTTAGATAATTGGCATCATTTTTCCAGAAACAATTCTAGATAGATCATTGTGGTGCACTGTCTTGGTGCATATCTGTGATTTTGAATGTGAGTGAATGAAATTTCTGAATGAGATTAAGTAGCTAAAATTTGCTTGGTTGGAGATTTTGTAAATATCTATCATTTTTTCTTACTATATTATCCTGTGATGATTTTTGTAACAGAATTTTCCACATGATCATATTGTGAGACATCTCATGCTCCCATATGATCTAAGCAAAAGACAGTTAAGATCATACACCTTACTATGAATTTGCATTTAGTGCTGTAACTACCTCTGGAAATGACAGTAAAATAATTTCAGATCAAAGTGATCTCTGTGTTTGAAGTTAAAGTTTGATGTTGTGTTTTCCATATCTCAGTTGTGTCTAAGGCCACAAAATATGCTCAGTACACTGTACCAAACTGTTGATTCAATTGAATTTTTGGGGGGTAATAGCTCTAAAGGTGTCTTGCTTGATATGCCGCTCTTCTACCTTTGAGTTTCATAAAATTATGCATCTTACATATTTTACTCTAGGGTAATATGGGAGGCTAGTGACATCAGTCAAATAAAAATTAATTTCAAAGAAATTTACCAATTTCCATTTCCCCCCCCCAAAATTCCATGTTCAACATAGTTTCTAATATGCATATTCACACATTCTTTCACCACCAGTACAGCCCTGTGCCACTGCTTTCAAACACTTCTGAGTTTTACAGGTTCCTCAGGAACAACAGATACTAAGGAAAAATACTTAAATCAACTTATAAGCAGACCATTATGGTCACATTAATTCTTCACAGGAAGAGGAAACAAATACCAAGCATTTAATAATTAGCTCTCTGATAAGAAGTGTGTACATAAAATGATGTAACAATGAAAACAAACAGGAATACTTGAAATTCAAGCTCTTACTGCTTTTCTTCAGCTTGTGGGGCAAGAACTCAAGACAGTTGAGTCTGTTAATATTACAGGTCATCTTATTACTATTTTCTTTTTGCAAATTTATGACAATTTCTAGATAAATATTCTTTCACATTGACAGGTACCTAAATTCATTGACATCAACTCGATACCCAGAAAAGTTTTATTTTCACAGCAGAGAAGCTGAACAAAAGTTGCATCAGAAATTCAACTTTTCCATGTAAGGAAAAGTAAGATTTTATGAATTAGAAATATTAGTAAGTAGTTATGTTCATTTCACACTTTACCTCTGTTTCTGCTGCATGGGCTGTTGTCTCATTGCCATATATTGCATGTCCTCTTGTAGGCGATTAAGAGGAGAGTCTGGCTTGACACGAATCCCATAGTAATGGTATTTGGAGTTTCCCCTTTATGAAAGAGCAAGAATTAAAAGAACAGTAACACTAGTTTTATGCATTTACATTACATTTACATTACAATTTACACTGACTGGAAAAGAATAAACACAAATCAGGCCTGACTCTCCTGTCATACCTATTTTACATGGGTGTCATTTTTACCACCTTTGGGAAATTAATTCACTTTCTTAAACAAATATTATCAGCATTTTAACTTTTCTTACTCCGTTTGAGTAAGAAAAATAAAATGCAAATAAAAACAACTTATCTGGTTATGGACAGACAGTATTAGTGATTTCCAAATAGCTAGCTATGTTATATTTGTGATGCTAAAAACCTGCAGTGTAGTTACCAAAAAGTAAACACATAAACTGTCAAACCCAGAAGAAATAAAACTATAAAGCATCTCAAAAATGCATAAAACTGTTTAACATTAGAAATAGAACTGACAGAAAAATGCAGGTTTTGTTTATTCTTTTCCCTAGCAGGCAAGTTTCTTACTGATTACATATATTTTCTACTATAATTCCAGATTTCAATAACACAAACCTAGTTCCAAGTCTTCTGGTCCGTAGTCCCATGAAGATTGACCGTATGAGTTTTCCAAAGGAAGCAGCATTGACTGGATCCAATTTGTGTTCCTGACAATGCCGTAAGTAATGGTTGTAAAGGGTACTTCTTGGAAGGCTCACTCCTTCTGCAGTTTCATAGTTGTCTAAAAGCCACTGAAGCTATATCACATACAAAACAGAAAAAAGATTTTTTATTATATACTTTATTAAAAATACCGTAGCCGTGCAACATTAACTTCTGACAGTCCTGGAACCACTCTTCAGGTCTATTAAACAATTACTTCCTTCTTCAGAGAGTCCTTAAAAGGTTAGCTATACCATAGTGCTATGGGATCTTCAGACTACCAGGGAAAGCAGAACTCATTGCACTTGTGACCTCAGGTAAGTTCCCATTTCCTAAAATATTTCTGATTCAGTACCACACATCAATACTTGCTAAAAGTATCTATGCTTCGGAGACAAACTGTTAGTACCACAAAAAAATAAAGTAACCATGAACGTAATTCACATAAATTGCAGAAAACAAACTCCTTGGACTAATAATAGGTAATTAATGTATTTGTAAACCTGGAATATCGTACTGTTTCTCTTTGCCTGTTATTAAAAAAACATAAGAAAAAAGCTACGTCATTTAAGTCAAAGAGCAACCTAGGTAACGTTGAAAATAACTGGTACATCTATAAATTATTAAGGGTACCAACCCTTTCAGATATAGTCTGCTTGCCTTTGACTGCCAAGAGGAACAGAATGAGTTTCTTGGAAAAACAGTAATCTTTTCATGTAATTGTGGTAGGTAATTAGATACATGCAAGAAGAGACTTTATATAATATCACTGGGTGTTCTAAGTAGAGCACATTCATAAAACACCTCTAGCTGTTGCTATATACAAAAAAAAGTGAAAAGGACAATTTAATACTCCTAGATTTAATATTACAGGAAAATGACAAAATAGATCAAAACCAATAAAGTTTGAGAATGCATTTAAATTCCACTGCTTTAGTTTTCTGATCAGATAACATTTTCCTTTTTTTTCCCAGTACTTGTCATGGTTTTAGATCCCTGAAATTTTCTAAGCTCTAGAAAAATACAGAAGTAAGATGCAAATGCTTCCAACACGTAAAATTTTTAGCTCAGTTTGCAGGTAATTTTGCATTTCAAATAAACAAAATTAAAAAGTAGTTAATCATCAGTTATCATACCATTATTTTATGTTTGAACATTCAAAAGTGCTTCCAAACTGAGCATCTGTCCTTTTGAAATAAAGCTGAAGAAAAAGTATAATTGACTTTTGTCTAGATGTATTAAACTTATCTCACTAATGATCTGACGTAATCCTGTCTAGACTTAGAAACAAAGGTAATTATATCTTTCAATGGTTGCAATCTATCTATATTTAAAATCTGTTATTTCATCTATATTTCTATTAATACATTTATGTAACATTTGTCATATATTATTACATCTAGAATTTAATCAGAACAGACATGGAATGTGAAGTATTTCTGTTTTCCCTAAAGGGAAAAACTCTGTCAATCCCAAAAGACTGACTAACAAAAAATAACTATTTTGCAATTAAGTTCTGTATGTAGCATTGAAGATATTTTCACCAGATGGTTTCTAACCTAGTATTAATCACTTCAAGTGCACTTCATTAATTATATGAATTTCTAACAGATGTTGTTTCAAACATAACTTGCATTATTCAACACACAAAAAAACTAAATCAAAAGTTAAGTGCAATATAAGAACTTTTGCTTGAGAGGCATTACTTAGTAGCAAGGGTTTGAAATTATTACTAGATGGATTAAAGCCTGGAAAAAATGCAGTTAATTCATGATTTTAAAAGAAAATTTTCTTCAAACATTATTGTAAACAATTTTTTAAAGAACCCAAACATTTTTCTACCAAATTCAAATATAATTCTAAAATTGTTCAGGTTTGAATCATGGCTTTTAAATTTACTAAATAAACTGACTATGCTGTATAGGTAGGATGGGGAAAGGTATGAAATATTTACAGAGCCAGAACCGTTAAACTGAGTGCAACTTCAACTAGGCTGCAATGTTCATAAAACACTGAACTATCAATTAATTAAATAAGTCGATCTCATGCAGAAATAAATCAAGAAAGAAAAGAAAAGAGAGGAGAAATGACAAATTCCTTAAAATGAACACTCATGTATTTAGGAAAAAAAATCCTATAAAACCTCATTGAGGTATCATAGGAGGAGGATTGAAATTTCAATCCCGAAAATAAAATTTCCCCACAAATTAATTTATCATTAGCAAAGTGCAAGTTAATTAAACACAAAATGTAGAATTCTACTTTTAAAATCTATTATGCCAATTATTTTAATAAATGCCAAACCAAGCCATTAGAAGTCAAAATCAAGAAAAGGTTAAAGAGACAAAGACTAAAACTACACTTAAATTTCCTCCATGTTGTCCCTGAGTTTAAAGACAATAAGCATTGTTTTTAAAACAGCCAAAACATCAATACACTTGATCTAGATCTAAAACTTCTTTCAAAGTGACCAAAACCTAGGAAATACTTATTGCCATAAAAATATGCACAAGGGTTTGTTTTTTGTTTTTTTTTTTCCCCATAGAGTCAAAGACACATCCCTATCAAAATAACTTTGAAAAAGCTTCACATTCAAGAAAGAAATATCATGATAAGTCTTAATGGTTGGATGCAAATCTCATTATTAGAAACACATTGTGAATAGTGCCTAGAACTAAAAATGAGTGAAACACAGTTTACTGAGGCACTGCAGCTTATCTTGTAATTTTTCATGGTTTTATACCAAGACTATGGTCTTCATAACAGGATTACACACAAACTTATCAATACTCCTCGTGTTCCAAGTCTTAATGCAGATTTCTAAAACTATGCCTAAAAAAGGTATGGTATTTTAAAAATGACATTTAAACAATGATTTTGATATTGTCTGTCTATTGTTGTTATTATTTAAATAATCATTTTTACACTGTCTTATCTTCAAAACAATTATTCTGTAAACACACAAGGTGGAATCTAAAAGTATATACTCTGTATATAGTGTTCCAATTTTAGATTTTCTAAAGAAATAAAAAATTTGCCTATATTTTCCACAAAACGTTTCTAGTTTTGACTTTGACATAACCAGACCCCTAGAGAAACAAAAAACCCCCAACCCTGCTAAAACATACGTTATTCATTTGATTTCTGAGGGACAGTCTCTACCATCATATTCTACATTAAGACTGCAAACTAAATTTAAATTTCTTCTGTAAAACAATAAAGGAATTTGAATTTACATAGTAAGTAAAGCTGAGAAGGAAAAAAGTAGTAAGATGAATAGAAAGCAATCAACATGGCAAAAAATACAAAATGCAAACCCATAAATATCAACAGAAAAAAAAACATTTTAGGAAAGACTAACAACTTAAAAATTAATTTTATTATTTATATAATAAGTTTTAAATTAACTTTGGGCCTTTTGCCTTTATTTTAACATCACACATCACTATAAAGATACTTATCACTATATCTGGAGGTCATGTTTTTTCCCAAATATCTTTTAGCTTTGTTTACGGAAATTCTTAACTGTAAGACTTGCAGAGTAAGAATAAAATAAAAGGCAGATGAACAAGCCATTTCTTTGTACTACAAATTAAGGCAGTGTTTTCAATTTTTACCAGGTCATCGTAAAGATCTTCAGGATTCTTATGTAAATAAATTCATAATAAACTCTCTAGTCAGAACAAATGAAAAAACATCCAGAAATAACTTAAATATATTATTTAGGTGTGCTGTTTGTTCCTTCTCTTCCCTCTTCACGTGCCCCAAAATTAGTATAGGATACACAGATCTTACTTTGCAGACAACTTTATTTAAAATGGCAAAAGCCAGCTACTTTAGAATTAATTGAACCTTAGCTTGACATTTACACTACAACCTGCAGAACAGTCAAATGTGTTAACTTGTCTTAACATAGGTGTAGAGCATAGGAAACAGGTAACACTCTGCTATATATCATAAAGACATTTAATCTGACAAAATAAAGCCATGGGAGGTGTAGTAGAAGATTACAAGCAACTAAGATGGGAAGATTAAGAGCAAAAAGTAGTAATAAAATAAAACAAACATTTAGAGGCAGGCTAAGCATGCAGAACAAGCCAAGAGAGAGTGTATGTGAAGAAGAGACAACTTACATGGCTGTTGAGAAGAGAGCTTCTGTGAGTGGACAGACCATCAGACTTTTGCAGTGTCTCAATCGCCATTTCAATCTGATAATAGATGTCATTAAAAAAAGGACTCAAGACGGGATAGTAAAAAAGCCTGATCAGAGAAGTTTTGACAGACTGCTAACAGATCAATAGAAATGCCTACTTTATTCCTGGCTAGGGCATATATTCTACTAAAAGGCCTCATTCCAGAGTCCCAGTGAAGACAAACCTCTTCAAGGAGGTCAGAAAGTCATTTTGCTCACATATATACTGCATGATCATAGCCTCCATGTCCATTTTACCTTCCAAGCTACTCAGAATGAGCTCAAAGGAGTAGAATTATTGGTGAGCTGCACTGAAACAAAAATAACCCTGACTGAACAAAAATATCATTAATAAAGTAAAAATAAAAATTAAAAAAAAATCCCTGAACAATTTTAAGAAAGGCCTCCATATGTGTTCCCTTCAATTAAATCAGGAAAAGACATGCAGACTTTGCAATAGGAATTGAATTAGAAACAGAACTTTAACTCTCTGAAATCACAGAATCAAATCCCAAACCAAAGTAATTCAATAGGTTTTACACCATTAACTTCACTGGGACAGGACATCAACCCTTACTGCTGCCAGCACCCTCTGAATATTCCCAGCTGTCAAAGTAAATGGAAAGTCAGGAGTTACACAGACTGCAGGATCCAGCTTTTGGAAAAGCAGATTTGTTCACAATAATTTTGCTTTTTAAAAGGAAAAGAAAATACAGTACAACTAAAATACAAAATAGAATTTCTTCAAATGCAAATGTACAAATATTCTCACACCCATTCCCTTTCTCTTCTTTTTTAGTAACAACAGATATTTTGATTTTTATCAGTTTGGTAACAACAACATTAAAGAAAAAATAAGAACCTAAGTGCAATTTAACTGGGGGCTAGAAGAGCAAAAACAACAATGAAAATGACAGCGACAATGTGATGCACAGTAAGAAGAGGCATACAGTTAATTAGCTACATTAAATGGCCAAAGTGAAAGCAATGGAAACCACCATTATACTTTTTAAAAACAATTATAATTCTCTGTGTAGACATTTTTAATGAACCCTCTCTATCCTCCTACAAATATCCAAAATTTTAGTGAAATAATTTATCCATATTGCCTGAACTCTCTGTATAGCAGGAAATTACCTGAAAAATACTATAGTTGGTATTTGAATTTACCATACATATAAAATTAGCTTCTTTTTTTACAGGGCAACTGAGAAGTATTTTATCGTAATAATGTGAGGAGTCTTTTCTTTTAACTGTTTAATATTAGCTTTGCAAGTTTGGGTTTTGTAAAGTACATTATTAAAAATACGCAGTTATTATGAAGAAAACTTACTTGGAAATAATGCTTTTTCTTTAAATAATCTGACTTCTTCACTGACTTGCTTCAACAGAAACTACTATGAGGTCAAAGTATTCAATCACACAGGAAAGATCAAATTCTAAAAGCATGCCACATGATAAAAACTACAAGCTGAAAAGATCATTATAGTAAGGTCAACTTGCTATGTGCTGTAGCCACAGAATTTCCCTTCCTAACACAATGCTAAAATCCAACAATGAAGACCATACAGACATTCAAATCCTAAATCTGAATGTTAGGTTACTTTTTCCACAACTCTCAATTCACAGCAGTACTGTACACCGAGGTTACACTGCCTGGTGCTCATTCCCACTACTGCACAACTCTCATTTTGTTGCTGCAACTTCTGGTCTTGTTTGTTCAGAGAACCAGTCTGTTAAAAAGAAGTAACTGCACTTAAAAAGTAAAGTGGCATTACAGACAACACTCTTTCCTCACTGCCATATTGATTCCACGGGTTTTGGTGCTAACCTTCCATCTTTTTGATGGGGTTTTTTGTTATTTGAGAAATTTTTGTTGCTGGAATTTCTTTTAGTAGATTTCACCAGTATGGCCATTGAAGACAACGAATCTCTGTTTACTTTTACTGCATAATGTAAGCCAAGCAGTACTGGTTACCACTAAAACATGTTAATTACTTTAATATATGTGATCTATGTTTAAAATGAGTCTTCATCATATTCTAGTAGGACAAGCTTAAAGAGAAATTATTCTCACCACCAGTTATTTTTTTTATCATTTCTAGTCTAAATTTTGATAAAATGAACTTTATCTGACAGATACATATCTCTTTACTGAAAGAAACTCTCTTCCTAGGTAGGTTATGCAATCACTTCTTAACTATTTTTGAGCATATAATATGATTGATTTGAAGACAGATTTTCTAGACACTAAATCATTCACTTGTCCTTTCTGAAAACCTGCAGCTACCTCTTAGTTTACTTTATTGGTGCCCCACAGGGCTCAATTCTAGGGCCAGTTCTGTTCATACTTTTATCAATGATCTGAATACAGGAGTTGAACGCACCATTAGTAAGTTTGCTGACAAGACCAAACTGCAAGGTGCTGTTGACTCTCTTGCTGGCAGAGGGGTCTGGACAGAGTGGAGCACTGGGCAATCACCAATGACATGAACGTGACAAGTCGAAATGCACCTGGGATTGAGAAGGGCCAGACACAAATCTAAACTGGGACAAGTGTATCTGGAGAGCAACCTTCAAGAGAGGGCTTCGGGGTCCTGATCAGAAGCAGGCCCTGTAGCAGCAGCAGTGTGTCCTAGAAGCAGGAGATAGTCTGCAGGTACCTAAGGCATGCATACTGACTATTTAATATAGCATTTTCTCTAGAGATTAAAAAAGAATATATTGAGTCAATCTAGAGAGAAATACACACCTAAGAGCCACAGACTGGAGGAACAAAAAATGCTTGGAGTTAAGTCAGATTACCTTCTCCTTCTCAAATTTTCAAATGAAACACTGATGCCCAGGTCCCAAGGGACCAGGTCTAAGGGACCTTGACATGGCTGAGGTTGGCTGACACAAACCTCATGAAGTTCAACAAAGCAAAGGTCCTACACCTGGATTATGGCAGTCCCAGGCAACACTTACAGGTTGGGCAGAGAAGTGACTGAGAGCAGCCCTGCAGAGAAAGACTTGGAAGAGTGATAGTTGACAATAAAACTCAACATGAATCGTCCATTGCACTCACAGCCCAGAAAGCCAACGAAATCCTGTGCTGCATCAAAAGGAGTGTGGCCAACAGGTCAAAGGAGGTGATTCTGCCCCTCTACTCTGCTCTTGTGAGACCCCACCTGGAGTGCTGTGTCCAGGTCTGTGGCCCCCACAATAAAAAGGGCATAGCATTGTTGAAGGAGGGCCATGAAGTTGTAAGAGGACTAGAATGCCTCCCCTACAAAGACAGGCTTAGAAAGTTGGGGCTGTTCAGCCTGGAGAAGAGAAGGTTGCATGGAGACCTCATAGTAACCTTCCAGTGTCTGAAGGCAGTCTACAGGGAAGCTGGAGAGGGACTGCTCATCAGGAACTGCAGTGATAGGACAAGGAGTAATGGGTAAAAATTTAAAGAGGGGAAATTTAGGCTAGATATTAGCAAAAAATTCATTACTGTGAGGGTGGTGAGACAGTGGAACAGGTTGCCCAGGGACGTTGTGGTTGTCCCAATCCTGGCAGTGTTCAAGGCCAGGTTAGATAAGGCTTTGAGCAACCTGATCTAGTGCAAGGTGTCCCTGCACATGGCAGGGAGAGTTGGGACTAGATGACCAGTAAGGTCCTTTTCAACCCTTAAAATTCTATGATTCTGTGTTTACTTTCTTTGCTTTAAGTTCTCAAACATAGGGTCAAACTGACCAATTTACTATTTCTCTCCAGGATCATCCAGTTATTTGTATATTCCATATCCATGATACATATCTTTAAACATATTCTAAACTTTTTTACTTTGTGGTCATTTCCCCCATGTTTGGAAAATAAAAAGATCGCTTTTCAAGTTTATCGTAACAACTTTTAGAATATATACATTCCACCTAACACTGAAAAACAGTTATAACACATCAGAGTTATGCCAGAAAATCAAAATGGAGAAACTAAAAAGAAAGTTCAATTCAGATTCCTATTAAAAACAAATTTGAAAACGTTTATGGCATGACAGCCTTAGACAAAGGTAGAATGGCCATATTAGCAAAAGTGTGTATTTAATAAGAAACACAAAAAATCCCTAGTCTTTTAGAAACATGATGCATCTATGCCACTGATAATCAGATTGTTATAAGAAGATCATGGTAAGTCTTCTGGCATCCAGCTGGTAACATATTTTTAAATAAAAAGAATTAGCAGAAATTCTTCTCATGGATTCAAAGATACCTATTTTTAATATCTTATTAACATCTTATTAAAAATTATGTTTCTTAAAATCTTTTTAATTTGGTAATTCGAACGCTACATTGGAATAAACTGAGTTTCCAACAACTTGGTTTTTAGATACAAAAGTACTAGAATAAATATTAAACTGCCAGAACTGGAAACAACCTATAGTTGTTAGAGGGGTTTCACACAGAAAACACACTAAAAGCCAATGAAGCCAGCCTGCATCATAAAAGAAACAGGGAGCATAGGCAGATAAAGCCAGAATGCAGTGAGGGTAGGTGAGGCTGACCTTAGCAGGGTCATTCCCCCTTTCCTCCACATTCCTTGTCTTGGGAAAAGGGCAGAGTCTCAATGCAAGACTTTACAGTGGAGCAGCAAGGCACTCAAAGGGAGAAAGACATAAGTTATTTTGGTGACATTGCTACACTGAAACCTCTGCAAGAGAGAGGGAGAAGCAATGATGAAGATCCACAGCTCTGAAGGAGAAACCATAAGAGGAGTAAAAGCCTTAAATATGGAGGTGTATAAAGGCTATCTTTTTTTTTTCCCCACAAAAAAATGTCACTGTGCTCAGTTGAAGAAATCATAAGTAAATATCTCGCTCAAATAACATGTCAGATCAAATGATCTAATAATCCCTTTTGTATAAAAATCTGTGCATCTTTGATTTGATCAGAAATGTTTTGTTTTATGCTGAGATGGATCCAGCTAAATGAAAATTACCAGAAAAGTTCTTTCTACCAAGAAAGAGATTAGTAAATAAAATCTCATCTCAAACTGTTTTCCAAATGATAACCCCTCTGCCTTTAATGAAACATTTAAACATTTGTTAGTTTTTCTGAAAATAACTATAATACTTCCACTAAAATGGTATTATCAGGATATGATATTTCCACTTGGCCTTCTTACTTCTTCTTGTTGTTCTCTCTCCAATAGGTACAACACATTTTTGGCAGGTACTGTTCTTCTTTTAAAGCTAACAGCAACTTTGGCACACTGTGTTTACTACCAGAACTAATAATTTTTGGTGATACATTACATCAATATTAATTTTGTTTTTATTTTCATGCACATTTAGATTTGCACTGAAATATGATGAATTTCTGTAACAGCATGACTGGAGACCTCCTATAGTTGGTGATGACTGACAAATGACAACTGTAAATTGAAGAACAGTTGTAAAGCTCACTTGAAAACAAGACTAATAGATGGGAGCCTCTTACTGACTGACAAGCATAACAACACATTTATTACTAGAAATTGTATGAATTTTTTAACCTTGTGATATTATGAAATATGTTGATTAGATCACCCTGTTTCATCACAAGAACACTCTTCAGATGTTTACATATGGGGAAAAAATTGGAAGGTGATTTACATTTCATTATTAACATGGCAATCCAATTTTCTGGAGAGTCTCTTAAATGTAGCTGCTCCTTCTTTAATGAGAGCTGCCAGTAAACCAGATGACTCTTTCGTCCAGCTTTCAACATGCAAATTCATTTCAAACAGACATCCAGCTAGGGTAAATCAGTTCTTGTTCAATGCAATCACAGTCTAGTCATGACCAATCCACATATACTCATATGAAAATGATCACTTTGGAAAGCTGTTTATCTACTCAGCATCTTATACAGAAGGTCTTGTAATCTAAATGCCTTTCTGTTTTAGTGAAAAAGTCCTTTCTGGCAGGTAGTTCAGAAGTAGTTTATTAGGCCAGCAAAGAATATAACAGGAAGAAGCAATGAAATCAATGGAAATGAAAGAAAAAAAAAGCTAGCAAATATTCTTCACATATGCTAAGATAAACCACTACTGCATATATGTTGGAATAGTTTTAATAGTGCACAAGTCCTGATATTTTAGCTATAAAACCAGTGCTACTGCCTGTCCTAGCTTAAGCAGGACAGTTTTTTTAAATATTAAATGACAAAAATTAAAATTAATTAAATACTACAAAATAATATATGCTCTTTATTAAACCTGAAGCAGAACTCAGAATTACATTAAACTATAATGAAAATAAAGTGAAAATAAACTTAAGGTAAAAAGTCTCTGAGTATCTTTTACTGAATTCTGCATAAACCAAACAGCATACCTGGTGAAAAGTAAATTAGAGTTTTAATTTAATTTATCTAAAAGAGAGTTAATAAAATTGACTTGTTTTATACATTTGACTTAACCTGAAACTGTTTTGTTTCTTTCTTTTAACTTATCAGAAAGAGATAATATCAATTATACGATTAATTTGCTTGTTATAGAATGTAATGGTTTGATCAGTGAGGGTGATAAACAACAAAAGAAATGAAGTTACCAGTTGAAAAGAGTAAACAGAACTAGTACCTCTATAGCAAAATAAAGAGAACTTGTGATGACCACATGTATTAATAAATAAATTCTCATTAATTTCTATATCATTTTTTTTCCATATGAAAATTTTTCAAACTAATTCAAAATTTGGAAAATTTTTCTGCATATTATGCTAGCAAATCAGTCTGGATAGAGGTTATTTTGATGATTTCAATAAATTCTCTATACGAGAATGAAAAAAGTTATGATGGTAAAGGCCAAATGAGGATCACAAGTGAAACAAGCTCTACCTATCTGAAGTGCAATCAAATTAAAATATTACATAGCTCTCTTTTACATAGTTTAATTATGCCCCCTAGTAAAATTACGACAGACTTGGTGCTTTAAAGTAAGTTTCAACTGAAGCTTTAGTGTTTCAATTAACTCTTGGATATTTCAGCTGAAACATACACACCGAACCTAAAATAGTAAAATCTAAAATCACTTTATGTCCCACTTCCTTAGCAAGAAATGTACTTCTAATATACTCTAATGTATCATACCTTCAGAATACTATACAGAATAAATACCACCCTAAAAACCAGAAGAAACTATTTTAGTGTCAAAATGCAATTTAATAATTGTCATTTAATTAGAAGTATTTTTTCTATTCTTAAAAATGAGTTGATAGAGCAGTACAGAACTTATCTTAAGAAACTAAACCAGGCTGTTTTATTGACCCATTAGGCAAGAAACAGATGTTGCTGAAGTCATGAACCTTAGATTTTGTTCAGTGTTGGCAAATTTTTAATTTTGGCAAAAAAATCAAAACGGTTTTTAATTTGCAAAATTAGAGCATTGAGTTTTGATATTCAACTCATTCTAGAATTTCCAATTTCAAAGTAAATCTACTACCCTTCACTTGTGTTTACTGAATACATTGAAGCCTCACTTGTTTTCACATTCAGCTAAGCATCTGAAATCTGAAAGAGGAATTATGCTTCTTTCAGAAACTCTGTTCCTCTATTAAAGTGATGTCAAATAAAGGCAAATGTTAATATAGATTATTTTTTGTAATTCAAATATAAAATTCTTTGTTGCTAGCTGAAAGCTCCCACTATGTTTTAGTGGGATATTATACTATTCATGAATCCATTATTACAATTCTTGTTCTCAGAAAATAATACTGCATAGGGTTTTGGATGAAATAATAATTTCTTCCATAGTACAAGAACTTTGTATTTGTCCATATCAATCACCTTAAGAATCAAAATAGAGAGAATTTATCAGATCATCTAAATTATCCAGTGCTATTAGACTGGTTACTAAAAATTAGGTCCTGTAATTTCATTGTCTTTTTGAATACTGGTGAATCTATATTATTAATGATGTTTTATCTCCTTTCTATACTTTTCAACTCTTGCTACCCTATGTTTCACAATTCTCTTCCCCATTACTTCCAAATCTCTAAATCCAGACCAGAATACCCAGAAGGATGAGGTAAAAGTACTCATTAGGGCTATGCAGCAAAGTTAGACACAGTATAAACATGTTTTCCTAACTGAAATATGGGCCGATTGAGTAAGCTCTTAAGGGAAGGATCTGTGCTTATGTTTATGTATCTGCAATATTATCTACCACAGTTATAACAGAGTGCATCTTCCCATAGCACTGTCAGACATTGTCACAATGAGCTTCTAATCTGGAATAGACTTTGGAGACATACCATAGATAAGTAAATGAAGTATTAAAATGTAGTATCTCAGAATTCTGAACATCTGGAAATATTTTGAAATAAGCTACCAAAACTATACTAATATCAGGCAAACAAACTGAAAAAACACAGGGAAGTTACAGATACTGATCTGTAGCTTACATTATTTAACACGTACATCTAACATAGTTATCCTCAGCGACACTGTATTTTTCTTATGTTTTCAGAAAAATTAAAAATGTTAAAATTTAAGGTTTGAAATGTAAATATTTGCAAGCTGTCAAGGGAAAGGTATGTCTTTAAGTTTTCATAGTATTCTTACTCCTGTATCTTAAACATATATAGTACTTTTTTTACAAAAAGTACTATATAGTACTTATTCTGACAACATAATACTGCTATACATTTTGTCACAAAAACTGTGTCAGTCTGCAAGAACATCTGAGTGACTAAGAAACTAGTCTCAAAGATTTTTGCATCAGTCTGAAATACTTACTGTCGCTGGGGAGGCCCGCGTTGTGTGAGTCACTGTGTGACCAGAATTTTCCATTGAATTCCCAATCAGATAGGTCCCTCCTGAGCTGCTGATGAGTTGTCCTCCCGTTACGCCCATCTGAATCCCTCCAGTGCCCACCATGCTGTGAGACGAGACCACTGTTGTCACCTGTGCAGAACTTCCTTGAGTATCAAAATAATTTCCCCCAGTGTTTTGAGTGTACATCTGGGTTTCTGTGTAAGGGTAAGTTGTTGATCGGCTTCAAGAAAAGAAAACAAAAGGAAAATACGTTATTTGTATTTCATTTAGATGAGGGAAATGTTATAATTCTAGAAATACATTTACAATAGCTAAAACCAAATCAAATAAGATTGGCAAACAAGCCCTGCCTCCTCAGAGAATAACATTTAATCAAGTCAAAGCATTAAATAACCAATTCAGTGTCAATGTTAAAGTATCCACTAAGTATCCACTAAGCATTACGGAAAAACTGTCAGTCCTATGTGAAGAGGAAGTGAGAAGGGAAGTACAATAAAAATTGGAGATGGGTAGACAGAGCTCATCCAATTTATAAGCAATTTATAAAGCTCCATCTTGTATCAACTTTTTTAAAATCTGACAAAACTTTGATTTTAGTCACATGTTATATATTTTGCATAAGGTGCAGGTTGGAAAATTACAGACAATTCATACAAATGTCAGCTAACAGAGTCCAATGTTCAAGAATCCTATGTTATCTATTGTTTTTAAATAGATTGAAGCTCTTGAATGAAGCTTGAAACTCTGAGTTCACTGGTGTTTTGGGAAATCCATTTATCTTTAAAGGGCAGATCAAAACTGGACATGAATTCACGTTGTGATAAAAAACTGTATTTAAGAAATAAAACCTAAACAGAACTATAACTTGTAAAAAGGTCAAAAACATGAAAGAAGTTAAAAGATATACAACAGTAACATTTTTAAAATCACTTACAAGCGTGAAACATTTATGTCTAATTAACCAGTTTACCCTAACAAACTATTCAGCTACTGAAAGCTTCTATCATGTTTCATGTTCTTATTTACTTATCCTCTTCATTTTATAATCTATTTATAATTTTTGAATGTGGATTTGTTCCCATGTATTAAATCTGATCTTTAAATCACTCTATTTCATAATTTTTAAGTAAATATTGTTCATTATTTCAAAGACTGAGCTTTGTATCTTGGCGAGCATGACAACAGGTAAAAATCAGTCTGTTTACCCAATCACTAATTTTCTTATTTAAGCATAAAAATCTGTAACACTTCTTGCAATCGACAGGCAATACCATTTTGAAATTCAAAGTTCTCCATTAACACTGAGCTGCATATGCTGAGGTGCACTTAGTCCAAGTAAATGAATTTCAAAAGTGTTAAGATTCGGAGAAAACAATCTCTGCCTAAGTCTCCAATTTGGCTAGTACAATCAAACAAACACAAAGTCCTGCAATGTCACGTAACTAAACAAGTTAAAAAAAAACAAAAAAACAAAAAACAAACAAACAAAAAACCCCCCAACAACCAAACACCAAAACCCCAGATACTTTTGTCCAGAAACGCAAGAGGTGGAAGCAGCACCCATGTTTTATGCAGTAAGCTGGTGATTAATACACTTATCCAGGAACCTGAAGTCAGGCTTTTCTTCCCCTTTATCTGTACAATGTTTAGTTTTTTATCAATATATAGAAATGGTCAAGGCAATTTGCTGGTTTTGGTTTGGTTTTTAATTATGAAAGCTTACATAAGATGAATTAATTGATAAACAACAGAACCAGAGATGATGATTTCTTCTTCACCTTCAGAAAACCATTACTTTTAAATAACTGAAGAACGTATAGCACCTTATCAACAACCAGTCATAACTTCTGCTGTATTAATTATGGGCACAACAGTTTCTCCTTTCCTCTTCAGAGACTTTCAAAAACTCCAAAACTTTAGTTTTAGAATCCAAAATGTTTCATAACCCTTATACTACATTTTTCACTCTCATCCCTCTTTAAGCTTAAGTATTTCAAAAGCCTCAAGATCTTTCAAAAGCTGCAAGAAACTTAAGTTAATCTAAAAGAAATTCCTTGCAGTCTGCTGAAAGCAAAGCAAAATAGTTATTTTAGGGACTAATGCTTAAACAGACATTTGATCTATCACCCTTTCTTCTGGAGATTAAAATCAGTTGACCTTTGCATTGCAATAATCTATGCATGCATATAGGTGCTGTGGAGATCCTGATTTATCTGTTCTCTCACGCCAAGGTATCACAGTGATACCTTGTGATAACACAGTGATGTTGTTTATCTGAAAACCAGAGATTAGAATCACTGAATTGTTAAGGTTGGAAAAAACCATCAAGTCCAACCATTAACCGAGCACTGCCATGTTCACCCCTAAGTCACGTCCACACGTGCATCTAGATGTTTTGTGAACATTTCCAGGGATGGTCTCTGCCACTTCCCCAGTCTGCCTGTGCTTGATCACTCCTTGCAGTGAAGAAGTTTTTCCTGTTATCCAACGTATCTCCCCAGGTCCACCCTGAGGTCATTTATCTTGTGATATGCACAATAACCACTACCAGACTGGATGTTGCATCTGTTTTTACACAATGAGAAGAGTGCCATGCAGCAGAGGACAAATTTAGGGAAATGTTGTGATGCAGGCTCAGGGGAACTAGTTCATGGAAATGATCACTAAATGACTGAACACTGTAATTTCTTCCAAAATAGGAAACAAAAACTTCATATCAGGTGTCAATAAGGAAAGGAATGAAAGTTTAAAACCATTGTTGACAGCAAAAATAGACATGGCTAGAGGAAATACACTGTACAAAAGATGTCAGGAGAACAAATCTCATTTACAAAAGTGGAATTGAATCTTTGAAGCAATGAAAACCCTAGAGAGGGTTCCGAATTTCAAAGAAAATTAAGTCATGGACTTGGTATGGAATAGGGAGAGTAAATGAAATGTTTGTTTGCTTTTGCCTTGTTTAGGCATACCTGCATATAATACATAAGGCATACCTGTATATCACACATATAATCTACAAAGCTGTGTATCATGCACAGTCTCTAAATAAGGATTCATTGTAACACAGCACTTATTTCTGCTTATAGCAGTACTCTGTATCAATGGATCAGTGGATCAGTGGGATACATCAATGGGCCACACTCCAAAATAAACACACTCTTCCCTTTGTTCCAACAACCAGCAGGTTCTTCTAGAAGAGCAAGTTCTAGATTTGGTGATGATTTAGTAAACCTTTCACAGTTGAAATTAACTGGATCTTTAAAAGTGAGATAAAACCATTATTATTACATGCAATAATAATTGCAACTTAGCGAAGAACCATTTAAATTACCCAAAACATAAACCACTTTATCTGGGATTTAAAAACGCAGCTTGATGAGATGACACTTTGAAAGCAGTTTAGAGAAATTACGTTTTTAGAAAGCAGACTTGAAAGTTTTAAGGTCCTTGCCCATGGTAACATGACCCTTTAAAATAAAATTGTAGCAAAGAGGAAAATATGGTGTTATATCCTTTAGACAGACTTGAGGGATAACTCCAAATAAGGAAGTGATCTACTTCTCCACAGCACTTGTAGCACAAATACCTTCTCAAATAGCTTGACACATATCATAGTCAGTTCTTTCACATTCCAAAGACAGTAAAAGCATTCTCTCCTTCAACAGCAGCATATAAAGATCATACAGGGACTAGCCCCAGTGTAACTAAAGTCATCTTGTTCTTTATGAGAAAAATGAATGATATACTCTTGCTTGAGATACAAGGTAAGCAACAGAACCTAATAGTTCTTCCTACTGAAACTGTGAAATCCCATGTTTACTAGAATGTGGCATTGGAAAATTCATCAGTTACAAATAAACCTAAAGTCTAAGTAGTTAGTCTGCAGAATCCTGGTTTCCAGAAGGCTGTGCAAGCTATATGTTTACCCTGAGAACAAGTGACACAAAGTCAGACACTGCATGAATTTAGAACAAGTATCTGATGTAAAGATCCCACATTGGAAATTAATGACACTGGCAAGAGTTGGACTAGGATTGCAAAGTACAAGAATTCCAGGCATTATCTATTATGCCTTATTGCTTACTTACGTGCATTTCATAATGACTTACAAAATATAATGCTATAAAGTAAAACAGATGGAGTTGTGGTATAAAGTTACGAAAACTATTTTTTTTGCACATGAAAACAGAAAATAATTTCTACATTCAGTAAGCCCCAGGATTACCACATAAATTAAGTGCAATGTCTTGCACTACATTATGGACATCAATGTTACTGAGCCTAACTTTTATAAACACTTTTGTCCCTTGAAAGACACTGACATTCTGAAGAAAGGAGACAAATAAAAGCAATGATACAGAAAGAGTAAACTTGTTGTTGTCCTCCCTTAGTTTTCAGTGTGCACATGCACACATGGGAAATCACTTATTCCCAGCTGAATCTATGATTTGAGTCTATGTAAATATCCAGAACCTGATCTACTGACTACTATGAATCAGTGTTCAAGCCATCCCATCACGTCTCAGTGATTTACATTGGCTGATCATGGTCCCAAATTTTCTTCAAAATTATATTCCAGTGACTTTCATGTCTTGCAAAATAATTAATTACAAAATTCTTATCACAAGCTGCAGACACCAGCTTGGAAAATTCAAGTGTGCTAAAATGCACACCCAATTTTTTACTTGAAGACTGTACTGGGTCTGGCTGAGATGAATACCTTTCCCCACAGCAGCCCTTACAGTGCTGTGCACTGCACTGGTAGCTAGAAAGGTGTTGATAACACACCAGTGTTTGGGCTACTGCTGAGCAGTGCTGGCACAGCACCAGCGCTGTCTCTCAACATTCATCCCCCTGTCCAGGTCAAGGGCATGATGCTGGAAGAGGAAAACAACCAGGCCACCTGACCCGAACTTACCAAAGGGATATTCCATACCATATGACATCAGCTCAGATACAAAAGCTAAGCAACGGAGGAGGAGGTTGCGGGGCATTCATTGTTTCCAATGGCTGCCTGCTAAGAAACCATTATGTGTGCTGAAGTCCTGCTTCCTGGGATGTGGCTGGACATTGCTGCTGATGGGAAGTAGAGAATAAATTTTGTCATTTTCATCTTCATTTTTGTGTGTGCAAACTTTCCCTTTTGCTTTAGTAAACTGCCATATCTCAACCTACGAGTTGTTTTCCATCTCATTCTCTCTCCCCTGTCTGGCTGGGAAG